AGAAGTATGTAAGCTTTCGATTTCCAGTGAGAAACAGAAACATCCTAACAGTTCTGTAAGCTTATATTTACAGTTCCCAGGAAATGAAACACTCAAGGCACAAAACATCCATAAACACTCAGGCATCATGTGACAAATTGTAGCTAATTTTAATCGTGTAAACATCAAGGGTCCATGCAATGGCACAATGAAGTAATTTCCCATTTAATTTCAGTCTTATTGAATCTCTAAAGGTAATTATCATTTAAACAAGGACTCTCTAATCCTATTGCTGAAGAAAACACATCAGATAAGACAAATGTGGCTCCCTAGCACACTCCATTTTTTAACCTTTCTTCACTAAGAAACCAATCAACCAAGACAACACCTGGAAAAGGGTCTTCAAACCTACTTGAAAATGGTACATACTCAAAAATTAAACTCACTAACATAATTCCCAAGTTTCAACATGCACCCATCCCTGATGGGAAATGTTACAGATGCCACTGCTGTCCTTATTACAGCACCAAGCCAAGGAGCACAGAAAGTTTCCCCAGGCATCTAAAGAAAAGCACGCTGGCAGAAGTCTCCATTCAGCTAGTGGAAGCTGGGAGGCAGAAACAGGGACAGGGCTTGCTCCCCAAAGAGGAATTTCCAGCTGTGATATCTGAGCCTCGCTATGTAACTGAGAACAAATGTATTTTTGAGAATGACAAGAGCTCAGAAAAAGTAAGAACTAGCTTTCAATTTACACACCTTAGAGAAACACCAGCTAAATCCAGGCTTCCTCCAATGTCTCAAAGACCCTTTAAAATACAGTGTTAACACCCTTCAAAAAAAGTCTGTTCCTTCTGAGTCTGATCAGATATTCTGAGTAAGACCTTTTTACATTTACAGCCTTGTAAAGATCATCACTACCATCCTGATGAAAATTCGCCCTCAATTTCACAAAAAGCAGGAAAACCCTACAGATCCACAGGAACATGGGCTTAAGTCAACCAAGACTGTCATGCTGCTTCTGACACCAACACCAATCAGAGTCCTTGGAGAAGGTGTAGTATCTTCTGCCTGTAGTATCTTCTGCCGAAATTCTCCAGGGACCCAAAAGTGACACCACCTACACACCTTGCTGAACCGATCAATTCCTCCCATTCTCCAATTGCATTGCCTGTGCCAACTGCAAACAGGCCTCCATGAAAAATTCAGGAGACACACTTGGCAGGACAGGAGGGAAAAGATCACAAAGGCCAAGAAACCCTTCAAGGTTAGTAAAAAAAAAACACAAACCAAAAACAAACAAACAAAAAAACACACACAAAAAAAAACCCTGACCAATTTATCCATCCTAGATCTCTTCTATGCAGAACTGAAGAACAAATCATTTAGAGCTTATTTAGCATTCCTGTTACTAATAATAAACACTGCTGCCCTCAGAAGACCCCATGCTTCTCTGAGAACCTGTGATGAAACTGAATCGTGGAACCCAAGAAACACTTCTTCCAAGTAGGATTATGAACATGCCAATTGTTGAATATTTAATCGTTCAACTTCTAACTTGTTAAAAGGTAAATAAATAAATAAATAGAACCAAACCACTGACCAAACCCTTATAAGCAGTACTGTAATAAGAATCAAATGCACAAACAATAAAAAAGAAGTCTGGTATGGAAACAGATTCATGTTTCAAACTATATAAATACTATATGCTACAATGATCATCTGAAAACCAAACAGACAGATGCTTTTGGACTACATTTGAAGCATCGTAACACAAAATCAGACTTAGCTGACATCAGGCAGCTACTCATCAGTTAGATATACCTCTGACTGAAGTATAGGACTATCTAATAACAATTTCCCCTCAAATTCTGACATGCATCGTCTACAGTATTATACATCTGATACATGCCAAGTTCTACATGTTGACACTTCACATTTTTTTCCTGACAGTTGCTTTACTAGCTAACTCCAGTGACAGATGATTGAAGCCAGAGAGTAAATTGTGTCATTTCTCTGTATTTTTCTGGTACAGAAAGTAAATCCAGTGTAACAACAAGATTTGTACTCCAAGCAAGTCAAACACTGCCCCTTGCAAGATCAGACCTACCCAACTTTACAGCATCAAAGCAGTAGTGTTAGGCTCTTCCTGGAGCATGCATACTCCAAAGAGCCGATACCTTCCCACAATGTGCCTCCAGTGGAAATGTGCCTGCCACAGGGGAGAGAGCTGGTTAGCAATAGCTCTCCTCTTTGTTCCATGAGGAACTAAATGCCAGGATTCCACTGTCACTTCCAAAGTGAACAGTACCACATTCACTGTGGAATCATCCAGACTCAGAAACCAGCATGAAATACATCAGGGCCCCCACAAAACCTGCTGCTGTGCGAAGAACATGCTCCACAGCACTTAGGTACTCCTTACACATAAAGCCAATGAGCTGGATGCTTTATTTAGGCTAACAACCAAAATCTTCCCCAACAAGGAAAGCAACAAAGCAAGAGCTAAGGGGTAGCTCAAATCAGTATCTTCAGTGAACACGGAAATTGGAAAACAAAAACAAAAACAAAACCAACCCCAAAACCAAACACAAAAAAAAAATGCCCAAGCAATCAGTTACAGTAATGAGGAAAATCTTGTACACATTCTCATTAATACAAGCCACATGGGAAACCATAAAATCCAGCAACCACATTACTAATCACACTAAAGAAACAACAAAACACCAATGTTTCTTCTCCCATGAGTTACTTTGAAACTTTTCCAGTATATTTTTGCATGGGTTGGGATCAACTTCATAGAAAATAAAGAAATGAAAATGCAGACTTAATTCTACAAGCATAGGTTCAAGTTTAGCTTTATTTCCTTCATACCATGGAAAGAGTCTCTGCAATGTGCAAAACAAAACAACTTACTTTAAGATAGCTAACAACACTATTACACAGCAGTCTAGACTGGCATTGTTGACTTAAGTCTAATTGCTTGAGAGAAGACTGGCTGTATAGCCACCATGACCTCATTTGGAGAATGTATTTTCAGCCCAACAGGCTGTATTCCTCCAACACCTCTTCAGCTTTAGGAACAGCAATTCCAATTTTGAGACACAACCCTTCTCAGCTACAACTGTTTCCCCTGCCTGCCTTAAGCCTCCACCTTCCCCTCCCCACCCCAAATAAGTTATTCATTACTAAATAAATGGAATGAGTAACATTTAACATCAGGAACCACAAGGGTATACAGACTCCTATCTCCTGTTTAGAGGCCTGTTTAAACAGGAATTAAAAGACTAAATGCTTCTATGGGTTTAAGCTGAAACCTGCAGACACAGGTACCTGTCCTCACCAGAGTGATGATAGCCGGGATGACCACAGATGAACTGCACAGGCACTGGGCAAGTTCTCTAGAGACAATCACCATTTTCTGAAGTTTGCGACCGAAACACAACAGCCTGAACACCAATTAGGCAACTCTTGTGATCGCCTTCTGAAATCCTGAAGCGTATCTTCTGCTTTATGTTGTCTTACGTTCTCTGCCTTTGAACTTTCCTAGTGCAATTAAAAGCAAACCACTGACTTTGCGTGCAATCTGCTTTTAAACATGATGTCTTTCAGGACGCAGTGGCTGCCACGAACACTGGCTTTCCTTGGTCCAAACACAGGTGTTTGTTTTACAGCTTTTACAGATTACCAGAAAAACATGACCCACTCCAGGTCGAGCACCCGCGCAGCAATGCCTTGTTCCGAGCAGATCTCCGGATCCACGGCTCAGCCACGAGGTAAAGTGCCAGCATTCCTCTTAACTTTAGGAACAGCTTAAGCACCTTCGAGTGAAAGGCCTTTGATGTGCCTTTGTTTGAGCTGCTTACTGAAAATAGTACTCAAGATGTCTTTAAAGTATTAGTCATCGCCTCTGAAGACCAAGGCCAATAGCCCCGAGAGCAACTTGGTGCCCGGTGCCCCCGAGACGGCGGCGCCCCCTCCCTCGGCATCAGGACCTCGACGACGCCCCTCACCGAGGCGTCGCCAGGACAAGGGCAGGACCACGGCCATGGGCAGGACCACGAGTACGGCCACCGCGTCCCACCCGGCCCGGCGAAAGCTGCGGGAGCGGGGAGTCCCGTGCCCCGGCCCATAAGCCCCCGGCCTCGCTCACCCTTCTTGTCCATGAGCCACATGAAGAAGAAGCAGGGCGCAAACCCGATGGGCCCCCAGAAGACGAGCAGGGCGATGTCCCAGCCGCTAAAGCCGAAGGCCAGGCGGGCCGAGTTCTGGATGGGGCCCCAGCTGTTCCACACCAGGCCCTGCGCGAAGCCCAGCAGCGAGAACAGCAGCAGCACCAGCCACCGCCGCCCGTAGACGCGGCCTGCCAGCGGCGCCACCCGCCGCACTGGCACCGCCGCCGGTACCCCCGCCGGACCCCGCGGCTGCGGCCGCCGCCGTGGCTGCTGCTGCTGTGGCGGCGGTGGCAGGAGGGGCTGCCGCTCCTCCGCGCTGCTCCAGCCTAAGCCCATCTGCGAGGGCGCTGACGGGGGCCCGCCGGGGCCGGGGAAAGGACACCCACACTTCACCCCCCAAACGCGGCGGCGCTGCCCCAGCTCGCCACAGCCGCATGCGCGGTCGGGGAGGGCCGGCGGCCGCCTCCTTCCTCCGCCGGCGAGGGGAGGAGGGAAGCGGCGCCGGGGAGGAGAGGCGAGCCGGGCACCCGTTGGGGGGATCCGTGCCGGCTGGCAGCCGCGGGAGCGTGCGGGGCGCGGAGTCCCCGAGGGATCAGCCGGGCCGTCAGCCCGGTGGGATACGGGGCTCGGGCACCGGGACAGGAGCGCTGGAGCAGCTGCTGAGGGCGAGGGGCCACTCTTGTGTCACCGGGGTTGCTGGGGAAACCCCCGCCTCGGGGCCGCTGTCAGCCCCGCAGTTACGCTGCCACTTCGGCCCCGCCCCGCGCGGCAGGGCTCAACGGGCCGGGCCCGCTTCAGGGCCGGGGAGCGTTAAGGGGGAGGCGGTACCGAGGGGAGTCCGCTCGAGCCGCCCCGAGGAAGAGCCGGAGGAGCATGGCGGAGGCAGAGAGTCGCTGTCCTGCCGCGCCGGGTAGGTGCCCCGAGCCCCTTCGCACACACCTAGCCGCGAAGGACACCGCTCCGCCCTGTCCCGGGCGCGGCATAGCGCGGCCCGGACTCGGCAGCGCGCTGCATGTGCAGGCCGCGGGCCGGCTGGCGGGCGGGAACCGAGGAGCCTGAGCGGGGCCTCCTTCCGTCTCCTTCAGCTCCTCCTCCGAAACGTTCTTCTGTGGCGTGGGCCCGTCACCGTGGTGGTCGCAGAGGGCAGAGTTGGGCTGCCTTTCAGGAGGTGTGGGTGCCTTCCTGAAAGGAACCGCCGAAGGCTTCTGAGGGTATCCGGCCCTTTAAAGGGAGAAGTAAATTGTGTTGGGTGGATACAAATTAGCCATGCTCCTAAAAGGAAAAACCAGTAGGGTTCAGCTACAGCCTGCATTGAAATCCATTTTAAAATAATTCGGATGAATATACCATCATGTGGGTTACACTAAGCTCATTAGAAACTATTATCATTTAAATAGATTGAGGTATATAGTCATTCCATTAGGTTGTGCAAGTATTTATCTGTATATCTACCATCTGCGCTTGCCATAAAATTAATGGTTCGTTTGCTGCACAGTGCTCATCTTCCCTGAAAATAATAGGTATTTCAGTTTGGCTGGCTTAGGCATTCTGTCACAGAGTCTGGAAGGCGGCTTGATAAATGCCTCTGTGCCTAACTGGGGAGAGCTGCACAGCAGGATCCATACAGGCTGGGTTTAGATCCAGCGGCAATGTTGCACTGGATCTAAACCCAGCAGTTGTTGGGTTGTTGCTGTGCTGGGCAGCGAACAACTGAATTTCTCATGTGGTGTCAACCCCACGGTTTTGCAGCCAAACCCATGCACTCCCATAAAATTCTTCCCAAAACATATGGACATTGCATGTTGTTTAGCCCACACAGCTCTGTTTGCTAGACTGAGGTTCAAATTGGAAGTTGCACTAGAGGGGCAAAAAGGAAGTTTGTATCAACTGAAATCAGCAGAACTATAATCAAAAAGAAAATGAGATTTTGTCGAGAAAACTTCAGAAATTCCTCAGGAAAAACAAAATCCATGCATAGTTAAATAACAGATTAATTACAAATGAAAATTCGAGCTTGCTGTGTACAACTGTAGGGATAAAAGTACAGTAAAAATAAAGGATAAGATTTGGATTTGGCCATGACCGAGGCATATTTCAGTAGTACTTTGGAGCTCCAAGTAAAATTAATTCCCTGTTTACTTAGGTCTTTTTCATGCATTACCATCTCAGCACAGTTTAGCCCATGCCAAAATGTTCTTTCAATTTAAAATGGCTATGTTACTACTATAAGTGATTTGGTGGCATTGTGCCAAAGACAAAGTGCTGTCATTTGTAGAAGTAAACAAAGTGAAAAAATACTTCTCTTTGAACATTTTTCAATTAACTGTAGTAACTGGCGGGGGGGGCACAACAGGAAAGGGTTTCTTGGTTGGTCTTGTGGCAGGAAGTAAGTCAGGTAGGGCTTTGCAGTTCCTTTAACTGCAAAACTTGCCTCTTGCCTGCAGAGTAAAATGAAAACATGAACATAAGCAGGATAACCCTGATAACTTACTCAAGCACCTCATCTTATAATGGGTTTAAAGACATTTTGACTCTTACATGGGTCAGCAAGAAAAGTTTATGAGAAACAGTGTCAAAAGAAAGTAGCTGTCAAAATGGGCTCAGAAAATCTAGATGTGTTTATTGTTGACTTGATAATGATTTAAATAACTTATTTTAATTGCTTGATTTGAAATCACTCCATCTTTACATAGCTTCACAACCCATATGTGTATCTTTCAGTCATGGCCTGACCTTTTCTATTCCAGCTATTTAATTAACACAGTGTAATATTCTGCGTGAATTATTCTTGTTTGCAGGGTATGGTACCATTTAAGTTTGTTGATGTAAAGGAGCAGTGCATTGTTGATAAATTGTTGGAAACCAAATTAGCTTTATCTTGCAGCTAGCTGATTGCATTATTTCACTCATGGGTATAATACTTCCCTAAATATGCTAATTTCTCTTTGTGTGGTGACATTTTTACTGTTCTCATTACTGACATTTGTAATATTTGGGGTGGGGAAATCTTTTTTTGCTTTAACCTCATTATAATGGAGCTAAAGGTATTTGAATATTCTCAGAAAAAATGCATATATATTCAGGCAAGTGGAAAGGTTGTTTTGTCTCCTGGCCAGAACTTTCATCCCTATAGCAGGACCTGATCCTAAATGGTGATGCAGAAGCCCATCCAGTTACTAATTGCCCAACCATGATAGCGTATCTGTTAGTAGGTGCCTCCATTTCAAACCTCAGAGTTTTCAAGGCATCTCTGTATTTGTGCCTGTCTGCATGTGTCTGCCCTAAAACTTTCTAGAATTCAGCTGAGGAGGAGTTGGTGGCCTGGAGCTCTGACAGACTAGTAAGGATGGATAAGAATTACATAGCTGAAGCTGTTATTGCTGCCAAATGCTCATCCCTTCCCTGAGGCAGGCCTGGCTGATCCACTTAGGAGTTGGCACCTAGACTGTGCTGATTTAAGCCTGGCTTATTAAGATAAACTGAAAGCTTTGACAGGTTTGTTATAACCTTCAGGCATCTGGAGAGTCTAATGCAGCTTAAACATACCTATCATGTGATGGTGGAGTTGAGCAGTTCAGGAGAGTACCCCCCATGGTGCAACCCCCAGTTCTAGTGTATTAAGAAGTGCCATTTGCTCTCCAGTCAGGTTTTAGAACAAGTTTGCTCTCCATGTGACTTTCTTCAGAGAGATTCAATGAACTTCAGCATCCCCTTGTTTCTTATAATTTGCAATTTGACAAGTAGCAATAGCATACTTTATGAAGGCTAGAAGCATTTTGGCACAAAATGGGCAGGACCTAAAATTCATTCAAAGATCCCAAAGTGACATTTAGCTCTAATTATGAATATTCCTTCTAGCATCCAAAGAGTGGCCTGTTTTCCAGGGATTTCCCTCAACTCCAGACTTCAGCTGGAGTTGTGACAATGTAGTTTCAGAGCTGCCATAAAAAGCACTAGTGTAGCAGGGAGCTGTAATGGTTCTCTACACCCTGTCTTAAACAACATCTTTGAAGGTAAGCCTGTGAGGTGTGAGCAAGTTCCATTCTTCCCTCATCAAGTTTTGACATCCATTTCTTAGTTACTTAGGAACAGGTTACTCAGGATCTGCTGTGTTTTGGGCTTTATTTTTAAAAATGGGCATCTTCCAGTCTCTGCATTCAGTACCTTTCAGCATCTTGCCTTTTTCTACTGAGCGGTAGGCAGACTTCCAGTTCTAACATCAGACAGAAATTTCCTTGAACTTCACCAGGTTTTACAATGCTTCTTTCTCTTTTCTAGTATCACAAGGACCAAAATACAGACACATCTTCAGCTTATGAAAGTTAAACAATTTCATTCTTAAATTCAAGTATCGATGTTATCCAGTGGGCATTCATTTATAGCTTTTGATTGCAGGCTGTGTACAGTCATGTTGCAAAGTGACCCTTGTAGCGGAGATGGTGAAAGGTTTGTGGTAAGTCAGAGCCTGTTGCAAGGTCCTTTTTTAGGGAGATCTGGGGTAGCTCCTTTTTCTTAAGGGGTTTACCTTTGTGGTTGGCCAATGAAAGACATCTCAACAGATTCCCTGTAGACAATGCTGTAGGTTCTCTACTGTAGCTCTCAAAAGGCATATGCAAAACTTACACCTGTCTTGGACTTTGGGTACATTTAAAGCATTTTGTAATCCATTTCTGCCTGTTCTGCTATTCATCACTTGCTTCATGATGAGCAGATTAAGATTGTATTTTCTTTGAGTAGGAGGTGGAAGTTGCATGGTATCTTTCATCCAAACTCGTTTTGATGGCTACTTCCCTATCTCACTTGGACAGCCTTCAGGCTCAATGTCTTAGATATTTTAGGGATATTATGTTGGAGCTCCAAGCTCAGCAGAGCACGGTCCATGTGTTCTTTCATTTTATTTAAAGCCAACATGTTCAAGTAACTGCAAACAATATCAGTGGAGTATTTTGCATCCTAGAGATTGGTTTCCCTGCATTCCTGAAAGCCTGAGGATGGTGAAAATGAACTGAGTCACATGAGGATGTTAGGCTTGAGTTGGGACCATAGGGTGAAACTCTCCAGCTGTCTCCTAGGGCGAACACTGCATCAGCGTAGATCTCATTTTCTCCGATGTCAGCAAGGGCAGCTGGTCATACTGCTTTGGTAATGGTCTGTCTATTGGGTCTCTGGTGAATGTGATTTTTCATTTCTTATCAGACTGTGTCATTGTTCTTCTGTTGTCTTATGTCAAAACAGCAAGGAGTAACTTAATTATTGTTCTGATATAATTAATGGTATAGGCATTAAGGAGTTTGTTTCTGTTGGTCTGGCTAGTCCCACTTGGCTGTCATACTACAGGTATGCTGTGTGCTTTCCAAATGAGTTCTGTAGACCTGATTGTCTGGGTAGACGTTTGAGGTCAGATCTCTACTGAAGATGTAACACTCACAAAATGTTGTTAGTCTGTAACTCTCTACTATGTAATTCTGTATAGAAAGAAGAGGCTAAATTGATTATTTCTGTGTCTGTCTGTGCTTTTCTAAGTGTGGGCATATATGATTTTAAGATTAAATTATCCTATGCTTTGTGATCACAGAAACAAGGTTCTCAGGGGTAGATACAGTAGCACAAGATTTTTATTTCCGTTAGAGTATTTCAACAAGGTAAGGCAGTTTGGATGTCTTGGTATAAAAGTACAGCTTTACTCTTTTGCAATGTTATTGTTTTGCAATAAAAAAAATCAGAAGCTCATTTTAGATTTCTAAGTGCTGGGTGATTTTGAAGACAGGATATAGAAGACATGGCTGCTTCTGATACTAATACTGAGTTAGTAAATGGTTGACAGAGTGACATTAATGTTCAAAAGGAATCTGAAAATACTGAAACTCATCTACTGAGAGGACTTTTCCAGATATACTAATAGGTTGACAA